GATCTCCCCCTAATAAATCCATGCTGATTGCCCCTGAGCATCATTTCTGATGCCGGCCCATCACAAATGTGCTCCTTGATGATCTTCTCAAAGAGTTTCCCCAGGATTGAGGTAAGACTGACGGGCCTATGGTTGCCCGGGTCCTCCCTCTTCCCCTTCTTGAAGATGGGGACCACATTTGCTACCTTCCAATCATCTGGCACCTGGCCAGATTCAGTTGCTCTTCTGTAGCTTGCTAGCTGGCACTGTGTAGGAGTGGTTATGATTTGCATTGCACTGTTTGAAGGTAGGAAAGGCCTTTTTTAAAACCAGTCTTAAAAATCAAAAACTGTTATCTTTGTTGCAAGTGAAGTTCAGAGCCCCACTCTCAGGGATAATGCCTGCAAATCCATATTATTTATCTCCTTCCTTTTCTCATTTTCTATACACGTCTGCTTATTTCAAAACACTTATCAGAGAAATGTGTTTAAAGTCATGGTTCTGACCCCCTCAAGTAGAGTCACAAATGCTGTAGCCACTTTTGTGACAGGCTTTGAGAATTAAAGTCCAGCACATTTGCTATTACCTGTTGCTGGAACAATGGTTAAGAAAAATAGAACCAAAAAAGAAGTGGATTTTCAAAACCAGGCATGTGAAATCTTATCCATATGTTTGTGGGGGCTTAATTTATACCTTTGGCATCTTATTTAACCATACTGTCAGCTCAGGACAAGAATAATCAACCCCGAAGTATGACTGCATGTCTAGCCACACATCCAATGCAATGCAATTTGGCAACTATATTTTAGAAAGTTGAATGCCGAACAAGGTGAACTACAGAAATCATTTACACAGCAGCCTGTTTCAAACATCTACATGTTCAGATGCCCTGGAGATGGTCCCAGTCTAAGAGGCTGAGTCTTCCAGTGGATAGAGTTGCACTAATCTCGTATGTATAAAAAATGTTCCATACAAGGTTACACTTTTTGTTTATCAGCTGTGCTGACCTACCTCTTGGTCACAGGAAGCTGAAAGCTTCTAAAATGTACAGTCTGTTATGCCACACTGTATGGGGAGGACAAGGGGAAGAATTTATTTTGCAGTAGGTCAAACCACATGATCACAATGATCTCTTCTGGCCTTAAAAAATGTAATAATCTATAAACAAATTCCTTCCTCATCCCATCAATAATCCATTTGTGCCCTGGAGCATGACAGGTGGTCACTGTTACCATGCAATTATTATTATCAGTGGGATGGACTCTCTTGTGGTGGGACTTGCCCACCAACAGAAATGGTGTCCAAAGGTGATCCAGGAAGGCTAGCTCCCAAATCTAAGTTCCATCCAGTGATAAAAGAGGGAATCTTCCACCACTTCACATGCTAGGAGCAGGGCTATGTCAGCCTGATCCTTGGCTGCCTTTTCAGTTTGTTGAGAAGGTTGTAGGCTGGTATGAATTAGAATAGCCCTAAGACTACTGTCACCTGGCATGAAGCGCTAGCTCTGTCTAGCTACAGGGGCCTACGTAGAGTGGAAAGGAGAATTTAAAATTATTTTGGCCCAAAACCCCTCCAGCTTCCCAGGCTGTGGCCTAAATTAATCTCCCTCCCTTCCTTCCTCCCATTGCACCTGTCACCGTGGTATCTGTTCTGCAATACAACATTTCAGTTTTTAAAATAATCCATCTTTGTTAAAAGCCTGTCTAGGAAGGCTGGCCCTTTTAGCTTCTGATGCAATGCATTGCATACCCCTTTACTGAATTTCACTATGTGACTATGAAACTGTGAAACTGCATGTAGCTGGAAGGTGTGTGCCTGGATCATACGTATCCTATATAATGCTAATCTTTTTGCAAGGGAACTTGGTGCAATTCTTTCATTTGCCATGAAGACCTTGCCTGGACCTTGAAAATTTATCTTCTTTCTGATTGAAGGTGCTTTAGGTCATCCATCAGTTAAGGTGACATTTATCATATACATTTTTTCTCCCAACTCTGTCCAAGTTAAATTTCCTATTTAAGTCTCTCCTTTGCTAGGATCTAGTTATCATCACTATTAGAATATTTTTAAAGCATCAAAAGACCCTTTGATCTCCAGAAAAAAGAGTGATCATTTGTAATATTCTTTAAAACATAAACTCTCCCTTTAATTCATGGAGCCTTGTTCTCCCAATGTAGCAGATTAGTGAGGTTTTTATCAGCTGTTCCCTGCTTAATTCACTGGAGAAAGTAGATGTGCTGGGGCGGGGTGGAAGGGGAAGCAGCCTGTTTATGTAGGCTTTCTGCCATCTCCTGAGGATTTGTGGAAAACAGCAAATGAATGGATATGTATAATTGAATTAAGTAAACCAACGCGTATTTTACAATCTTTGACAATCTTTCGAAGCTGAGGATATGATTGAAAGTTAGCTAGCAACATCCTGTCCGCCCTCATCATCATTGTATATTAAGTGGTTACAGTGAACTGAAATCTGTTGAGATGTGACACCCTTGCCTTTTCCTTATTTAAGTGTTTTGATGTCTGTTATTCAGGAGAGGGCTTCTCGGTTCTTAGTGCTGCTGCTTTATTGTCAAAAAGGCTGTATAAAGGGAAGGTTTGGGTGCATATAATGAATGTGACAATTTTGGATGTAACCTGATTGAAGGACACAGTTTCACAGCATAGAGCTTCAGTAATAAGAGGAAACCCTGACATTTGGATCTCCTTGGAATTTTGCTGTGACATAACCGGGCCCATAAGGACTTTGGGCTGTGCAACGAACCCTGCAGTAGAAGTCCTGGGAGGAGCAATAACATTTCTTTATCGTGATCAGACAGTCTCTGCAAACTCTCCCTTTTATAACAATCTGCCTTTTCTTTTAGGTTCCCAGAAGCATTCCAGACATTCAGCTCCTTCAGAAGCATGTTCCCAGAGGTCTCTGGGTACTGTTACTGTGCTGACAGCCTAGGGAGGGAATTAGCAGAAACTGGTAAGTGAGGGCAGACAGCTATATAATGCCAAGGCCGCTATGACGTAGTACCTGGCCATGCAGCTAATTTTCATGGCAGGACCAGTTGGAGTTGGAAATCACTAGCTAAATTATTTCACAGAAAGGCACATTTCTCCCCTAGGAATAGCACCAATCATTGGCAATGAATGCAGTTACTACCTGATGGTAACAGTCCCAGGGAGTCTCTTTTCTTGATCTAGTTGACTGTCTGGTCCCTACTGGCCACAGTCATTATGAGAGAGTCACCATCATGGTTAGTTATAGTTATCAGCACTCTCCTTGGAACACCACAGACCTGGTGAGTGACCTACACCCTTCCCTGTAAGAGTGGGAATAGCCTTTGCCCGTGAGAAAACATAGGGTGCATTCCCATTGAATGGTACATGACACATTTTGCAATCAGGGACCTTCCAGGAAGATCAGGGTGTGGGATTAGGTAGAAATCGCTCTCCTGGCTGTTCAGTGAGCAGTCCAGTGAGTTTTAAGCTCATCTCTCAACAGTGAGGGGAAGAGATAGTGGAAGAATCTTAAGCTCAACAGAAAACTCTCAGCACTCAATTGAGATGAATAAGAAAAGTGGTTTCGGTTGCAGACTCCAGCAGGTACCACTGTATCTGTTTACTTCTGGCTAACCATTTGGTCATCTCCACATCCATAATAGCTAGATACTTCTCCTTTTATCAGGGGTATCAAACTCACCATGGCTCCTTGGCTGCATCTGAACTGCAGGGGCTTCTTCCAGACTGGATTCACAGGGCCAGCAGCAGCTGCCAGGTCCAGTACAGTGGTGGGGATGCATCTGCCCAGCCTTTGCTTGTCTCAACCCTGCCACCAATAGCATTTTCTATCAGCAGCAATTCTGCAGCAGGACATGCCCCTATTTTACAACTACTTGCAATTTCTGGTAGCCCAGTGAGCTACATGGAATGGCTTCACGAGCTGAATCTCGCCTGGGGCTACATGTTTGGCACCCCTGCTTTAAAGGGAAGGTTGGATCCTGAAGTTGAAGCTACCAGTTCTCAATAGAGGTTTCCCCCGCCAACCATTGGGGTTAGGTTCCTGAAAGTTCCCGTGGTTGGCAAGACCGTGGTTGGCAAGACAAAAGGCTTATGGGGAAAAAAGGCAGGTGGCGGGCTGATGTGCGGCCATGGAAAACCATGGTTACTCATGGTAGCTAAAATGGTACATAGAATATTAAGCATGGACACTCAAACCTGTGGTTGGCAAAACTGTAGTAGGCAAGAGAAACCTGTACTTGGTAGATAGGCTACTGAAAACCAGCCCAACCCAGCCTGTGGCACAGGGAATTGCCTTGTGGTGCATACTGGTATTTCTTACTTAACATCATCCCGGTTAATGTTGTTTCATTGTTACATCACTGGTCTATTAGAGAACATACTCTTTTATAAAGTCGCGCAGTTTTTGATTATAATGTTGTTTGGCCACCGCCTGCTAGTAGGTAACTACTGTGATGTAATCAGATTCGCTTAACATCATTTTGCTTAAAGTCACACTTTCAAGAACGTAACTATGACATTAAGCGAGGAGTAGCTGTACTGCATAAATCCCTGTTTCTTGATCAGTGCAGAAGTGCAGGTGTTTCTGGCATCTATCTGCAGCAGCTTTCAGAGAGGCATGAATAGGAGGTGAAATCTCTCATTTTTAAAAGGGGAACCCTGGGCTAAAAGGCTCTCTTCTCTCTCAGGGTTGGAACTGTTGCTTGAAGAAGTTTACGACACAATTTTCTCTGCACTGGAGCCTGCCCGCACCTTCACTGAGACCAGCGTGTATCGGATTCTTCAGAGGAGGTTTCTGGGGGTGCAGCTGGCTGCCTCGGGCAGGTTTCGCTGTAAGTAGCACCAAACTGGAGCTCTGGGAGTTGTGGAGAAATATGGGAACTCAAGCGTGACGGCTGCCAGGGTGGCAGGCAAACTGGTCCTGAACTGATGAGCTCTGGGAATGCTGGTATGAGCTACCAGCAGTGTAGATGGGCTGCTGGTGGGGCAAAATCCTCAGGTGGCCTCTTTTGCAGGGGTAAAAGGGTGGTGTGGAGCCTGGTTGTTGGGAGACTATGCCTTGCCAGAGAGGGAGCATGCCCTGTGGGGAGTAGGGGGGACCCTGCCATGAGAGGGTGTGCTCTCTGGACAGAATGGCAGTAGGAGGGTGCCCAAGGGTGGGGGATCATGGAGCATGGCTTACAGATCAATGCTTCGCTGCCCTGAACAAGTGGTGTCCAGTCCATTGCCCCCCTGCCCGCCTTTTAACTATGCCCCTGTGAGCTGCTATTTCTTGAGCTCAGGTGCTGAACGGGGGAGCAAAGCTTGCCATGTTTCTGGTATTTAATCTATTTTTGGGGGTCAGGAAGGCATCTTCCCCCTCCCACGTGCAGTGCTATGGAGTGAACCCGTGTGCATCTTAACAACCCATGTAAGTTGTCAGTGGAGAGCAAAGCAGGGACTTGGATTGCCCCTCCCGCTCTAACGGCCAGTAGCAGGAGGCACAACTATGTGTACTAGGCGGGTGCATTACAAATAGCAGGCGGAGAATTCCACCTCAAACAAGAACCGTGAGCAAGCTGGTGAAATTAATGGGTTAATTCATTACCATTAAATTAACTTAAAAAGCCCAACCCTGTTGCAGCCCTGCAATGTAGAATATCGAATGAGCAATTACTTTGTCTGCAGTGGTATTGCAATGACTGTCAAGTGTCACAGCGTTTGTTGTTAGTGTTTTCTTTCAAGAATGAATTCTAACAAAAAGAATAAGAACAAAAATAGAACCCTCAGGCTGGGATTTTGGGATCTTTGTGGAAAAACAATCAAAGGTTTTTTCAGGCTCAGTAAAAGAAAGATTTTCTTCAGCATCTCATGCTGCTCCTCCTTAACGCACAGCATTTCTCTTATAGGCCCCTCTAAATGTGAGGTTGAGAGGTCAACAGCTGTTCGCTTTGGGCACACGTACAGGCCGTCTTGTGATGATCATGGAGACTATAACCCACTGCAGTGCCAGCAGGATGGGCAGTGCTGGTGTGTGGGCAACAAGGGGCAGGAGTTTCAGGGAACAAGAAGGCAAGGGCAGCTTCCAGTTTGTGGTAGGTATTGTAGTTATCAGGCTAACAAACCAGTGCTTCATCTCATGTAAAATACAGATTCTTTCTCTCTCTTTCTCATGTATGTGCACATGCTCATGCACATGCTCCTAGTTCTCAGTTCTGGAAGTTTCATATAGATGTTGGGATAAAACCTCATGGTCATGCTACAGATTTCTGTCATCCGTAATACAAACTCTGCCCTGCCCTTCTGCCCGACTTTCTTCTATACATCCATTCTTTCTTTCTGAATGTATGAAAGAAAGAAAGTAAGAATGGATGTTAGGTTCTTTTTAGTTTCTCTCCTGATTTTCGAGGTCTCTAATGTATGTCTACAACATATCCCAGTATAATCTAGCAGGAACATCCCCAAGCACCAGTTCCCACTTGTACACATCCTCAAAGTGGCTTCACTGCTACATATCTAGATTTGGTGAGCAGGAATGGGTAGTTAGATCATATACGGGGATATGCTGGAAAAATGGCGCAGACATACCTTTCAAGTTCCACATTTTCAAGCTTATCTCTGTGACCATGAAAGCCAGAAAATCGCTGTGATTTTGAAGAAAGACCAAGATTCACATGTGATTACCTGACTCCAGGAGCCAAATATTTAATAAAGTGCACTTCAAATCCCAGTGCTTGTGATGCACAGTGTCATCGGCATAATTTTATGTGGTTTGACCCTCCTATATAGTGAAGCTTCTGGTGTGGTGTTGCATTGCTTCTGTGGTGTCTGTCTAGCCGTCTGGTCAAGTTGTTCCTCGTCTTTGTCCCTGTGGTGTTTGGCTGTGAAGTTTGTCAAATCCGATAAAAGCAAATGAAGAAAAGGTGTGCGGATGTCCATGTTGTGAACAGAGGGAGATTTCATTCCAAAAAAAGCATCAAGTCAGAGACTGGAATAGAAGATGACAGCAGAAGGTGCTAACGGGTCAAATGGGGGTGGAGAAGATTTGTTTAAAAACAGTCAAAGTAAGGATAAATGCCTGAATTTATGCGGTCAGGGAGGGGTACGGGGGCTTAAGACAGGTAGCCTTTGGGGAAGTTAATTTTTGTGTCTCTCAGACCATAGACATACTATGTAGGCAAAGAAATTATCTATTCTGGGTGTCACTCATGAAGCAGTCACTAAATGCTTTAGACCAAGACAGGCTTACTGTAAAATGAAAATGGTAGTGTGCCCTCCAGGCTGATCAGCAAGGATATTGCAAGGGAACCTTGGAGAGGCCTCTCCATATGTCAGGGCTCGTTGTTTTCGCTGAGCGTGCTCTGCTGACTGCTTCTGATCATTTCTGTGACTTAACTTGAGGCTGCTTGCAATTAAGCCATGCAGCTTTTATTGGCAGACTCAGGAAATCTAAGCCGGGAGGCTACTTTGGCAGCTTTGCAGTCTAACCGCTGAAAAGGAATTTTCACAAGGACGTATTATTCTTAGATAGTCTGTGCTCAGGCAGCTACATGTGATGTGATAGCCCCCCTTTATTTTGTTTTAAATTGACGCCCTTCTATCAGAAGGGGGCTTTGTCTGCTTCTTCTATTCACACTTGGGTAATCTGGTTCAGTGGGAAGGAAAACAGCATTAAAGAAACGTGACGCTTGATTGATACTGCTGTTTGTGTGGGGAGGGTCTGTATTGCTGCTGTACCATGAAGTGCCACCACCCTCCTGTCTGGCTTGGTGCATGTCAGCTCCTGAAATAGAGACAGTGGAGCTGCGTCCAAGCAGCACTGAGTGTGTGAACCATGAGAGGTTCCTGCGGTCTCTGGCTTGAGCAGGTGTATTGGTTCACATTCGGGGCCACTCTCAGGTGCCCGCTCTGCCTTGTCTCTGGTATATGGGGCAGGAAGAGCAAGGAATGAGTGGGCAAGTCCTTCTGCATGCGGGCACTCCCAGGTACTGCACAGGAGAGGTCTTGACATGTTCTTCTATGTGCTGACACTTAGGAGGATGTGAAGTTAGTGATGGCCTGTTTGGTCCCCATAGGGAAACACGAGTCTCTCAAAGAGTTGTCAACCAAAAGCACAACTGAAAATATGGAATGGGCTAGTTCTGAAAGTGCAATGATTCAATAATTATAGCAAAATGAAGTTATGTCTGTTTGGCCTCTGGAGTGAGGCCCAGAGCACCCCGAGAGTAAGCCTGGCCTCCTCTGGGAATGATGGAGCCTGAAAATTGGGCCAAGTAAATAGCTCAGGTACTTGGCCCTAAACATGTGCCTCCAACTCTCCGTGTTTGACTTCAGTTCTGCCTGAAGTGTGGGCTCAGACATGAGCAGACTGGGCGGGAGTTTGACACGCTTATCTCCTGACTGCTCTCCTGGGCTCACATCAGAGTCTATACAGACGTATCAGCAGTTCAACCCCAGGAACAGGAACGTAGGTGAGAGGATGACGAGCAAGAGGGGTATCAAGATGAGAGATTAGAATGAGGGGGTGGCCTGCTGGAATCCTAGGAAGGAGTAGATAGATCTTACCAGCAGTAAAGGACAAGGCCCACACATGAGGAAGGGCAGCCAAGATAACCAAGTATGTGAGAGAGCAAAACGAAAAAGCAGGAGCATGAGCCAGAGTCAAAGGCAAAGGATGAAAGGTAAAGGGAAGACCTGATCGGAGAACTTGGGTCAAGGTGCCATGAAAGGCAACAGTGATGCAGCAGGTTTCTGGGTTTCTAAAATGTCTATCTCCTTGTTTTCCTTTGTCTAGGTGAAGAACAAACATGCATCTCGGAGAGACGGCAGGCTCTCTCCAAGCTTTTTTATGGACCTGTTGGACACTTCAGCCAGCATAGTTTATTCAACACCCAAGAAATGAAGGCAGAGGAAATAGGCATATTCTCGAAGTCTTGCCCTCCTTCCTTCAAAGAGTTGTTTGTGGATTCTGGATTGGTGTCTCCTCTTACAGAAAGGCCAGGTCTCAATCAGCTGCTTGAGCTTGAATCAGTCCTGAGTGAAGCTGTCAGAGGCATGTTTCCATCCAGGGAGTTGGCTCGAGTTGCTCTTCAGTTCGCCTCTAATCCCAAGCGCTTCCAAGAAAATCTCTTTGGAGGAAAATTCTTGAAGAACCTGATTCAGTTTAACTTTACAGGAGCTCTCGGCACTAGAGGGAAATTCAACATTGGCCAGTTTTCCCAGCAAGGAGGAATGGATAGTGGAGAGAGCTTTGAAAAATTAGCAAAGGAGACTTCACTGGAAACATCAGAGGAGAGCTTCATTGCGAGTAAACCTCTTGTGGACACTTTTGCCCGCACCATTAGTTTGCAAGACAATCAGAATGCAATTAAATTTCTTGCTTCCGTGCTGGAACTTCCAGAGTTTTTTACCTTTTTACAACATGTTATTTCTGTCCCAGACGACATCTCTGAAGATTTAGGGGAAGTTGTGAAAATAGTTTTGAGGTCCAAAGACTGTACTGAGGAGTCCAGCAATTTGTTTGTTCCAACATGCACTAAGGAAGGGAGATATGAGGAAATCCAGTGCTATGCAGCTGAGTGCTGGTGTGTGGACTCACAAGGAAGGGAGGTCCCAGGCTCAAGAGTTCAAGGCAAACGTCCGAGGTGTGCCACTACATGTGAGAAGCAAAGAAGTCATCTGCAAAGCTTGAAGCAAAGCGAGCCAGCAGGGTCTGATCCATTTATTCCCGCTTGTACTGAGGAAGGAGATTTTCTACCAGTCCAGTGTCATGGACCAGATTGCTTTTGTGTTGATTTGGATGGCAGGACTATTCCAGGAACAAAAAGAAAATCTGGAAAGCCCATGCAGTGTGAGTCTGGGGATTGGTATCTGATGGGTGTTTGGGGTTTTTTTTGCACATTTTGAAGGGACTGTATTTGTGTTTTCTTGTTTTGCTAGAGACTGGAAAAGTATGCTAGTTTGTGGGAGCACCATATCCCTGTGCTGGGTAGAACATCAGACTTGGTTTTCTGTAGATTCCTAGTAGTCCAGGAATTCCAGAGTATATAACCCCTGGCAAGCTGAGACATAAGGAAGATTTCCCCCCTAGCAGAAGTGAGCAGCGCCCACATGTACAGAGCAGAACGATCCAAGCTGTATCCTTGTTAATGACCATGTTCCTCAGTTCTAGCCTTGTTGAAGTGCATGTGGCTAACTTATGTGTTACAGCTGGTTAGCCTATGGACTTTTTAATGTTTCCCTAGATTGGCCTGTGTTCTTGCAGGATGTGGAATCTATTTTTCTCCTGGGACAAAATACAGTAAAAGCTCTGTTATCTGACATCCGGGAATGGGGGATGCCAGTTAATCAAATGCGCTCCCTCACGTCAGTGTGCCAGGGGACAGGGTGGGGGGGGGGCCCTGCACAGGCTCCTTTGCCCTGGGCCATGTGCCAAAGAAGTGGCAAAGAAAAACTCAGCTCACGGCAGCCAAGTGAGAAGTCCCCAGGAAGTGGTACTTCCAGTTTCACTTTTGCCGCGTCCCTCAGATGCCAGTTAGTAGAGTTTTCCAGCTAATAAAGTGCCGATTAACGCAGCTTTTGCTATAATCTGTGGCTGTCACAGGCCTCCCATAAGCTGAGGGCAGGAGTTGATGGACCAGAACCTTCAGAGGCAAAATCACAAATTTCTTTTTTATGCGATAAAGGATTATGTCCTCCAGTTTAGGACGTTACAGGAGGCTGAAGTTCTTGTGTGGACCAGGAGACAAAAGCTAACACACTGTTAATGCAAGTCACATACTCAGTTCAGATCAATTAGTAGAAAACTAAGTGGGACAGATGATTAGTAGGCCTGCGAGAATAGGGAAGTATTTGATTTGGAGGACAGTGATTCAATTCAGAGATTCTCATTACTGTCCCAAATTAATTCAGCGAAATCGGCTTTGGAAGATTTGGTGCTGATTTGGACAGATTTGGTGATTTGGCCATAGACTATAATGGGGAGTCACTGAAATACCTATAACCTTGTCATTTTTTATCAGATTTGGATGAAACCAGCAGGGATGGTAGTTCCTTCTGAGGGCATGAAGCCTGACAAATTTCAAGGATATAGGTTTAGGGGTTTCTGGGAAACTGCACCTCAAACTGCTACAAACTAAATTTGTGTCATTTGTGTGTGTTAAGGCAGATTTGGATGAAAACAGCAGGGATGGTAGCCTGTAACAGGGGGGCCTTCCTGGTGATCTTCACCCACCTGCCTGTTTCTGGGCCAGTCACCCACCTCTTTTGCTCAGGCAGAAACAGCTCACAAAAGGGACAGAAAGGCTGCAGACAGAGGCTTATATGCTGTTTCTATATCCTTCTCCCTGAGAACTGTGACTGGAAGGAGACTCAGGGAAAGATCACAGTCACTGGCCAGCTACAGATTTCTGTCTTGCTCCCCCTACTCCCCCTCACTCTTCTCAGTGTCTGTTTCCCTGAAAGAATCTTTTCTGAATCGATTTGGAGGCGCCAAATCGATTCAGAGGGTTTTTTTGGTCACCCTATTCAATTCAGCTTCCGTGATTCAGCCTCCAAACTGAGCTGAATCTTCTCTGAATCCAATCGTTGACCAAAGCTTTGCACACCTGTAACGATTAGATGTTCTACAAATTAGGTCTAACAGTAGGATTGAAGCTGTCAAACAAAAAATGCAAATCTCTCTGTCCTTCTTCTTAGTCTTGCCTAAATGGAAAGGTCTTATTGGCTCTTGAAGCTCAGTGAACTTGAACAGTCGCAGACCAGTGGAGGGAACAGGTTCCAGGAGCACAGTCCCCTACCTAACTTCTTGAACTCTCACTTTGGAGAGGTCAACGCTAGGAAATAATAGCAAAGTTTTGAACAGACCCACATGGCCATGATGTGTGTCCTGGAGCACTTAGGGATTTATGAGCCTGTTTGGGCTATAAACAGAAGCAAAGAGGTGCTTTATCCAGTAAAGAGCGAGGATTACTGGTGATCTAGGTTCATAGTAGTCTGCTGCACATGAGAACGTGAGCTGCTGCCTTTACTTTATTTGCTGACCCTGCAGTAGCAAGTGCCAGTACAGTGAGTTTTGGCTCCAATTTATCCATTGTGTCTCTGAAGAATTGAAATTCTTTTTCCTGGAGGAGAGAGAAGTTGGGTGGCAGAGGCATGATGATGTGGCACTGGTAGCTGTCACACGTGGGAGCAGCAGTGACTTCCGGTTGCCGCCAGTGTGATTTTGCAGCTGTGGCAACAGCCTTTCTTTTCCACCTCCCTCCCCAGGTTGGTGCCTGGGGCAGGTGCCCTATTCTCCTCAACCTTGTTATTCTACTGCTCAGTAATGCTGTACTATACAAGTGATCCCATTGCTATCCATGGGGCTTAGTTAGTTCAGTGAGAATTTCTCTGACTAAAGACTATAGGTCATATTTTTGCAGTAATTAAATTAAAACATGTAGATGGGCACCAAGTAGGATTAGGTGCTTAATTTTCATTGATTTCCATTGAAATCCATGGAGTTAGGCACCTAATCTGCTTGGTTGTTTCTGTAAATCTTTCTAAATTCCTGTCTATGGCATTTGGTACGTAGGTATTTTGAAAATCTGGTTTGGGGTAAAAATCTCAAGATTTGGTCCCATTTTTAATAATGGACCAAACACCACAAATTGTCCCAATGCCCATTGTAATAATGCACATTAGTAACAAACAATTTGTGTAAGTGTGTTTGCAAAGCAAATGTGTCCAGGTGAGATTGTGTCATGTGCCTGGAGTACATTCCTGAAATAACTGAGTTATGTATTTTCTTCCCTCCAGGCCCAAGCCCTTGCCAGTTAACAGCTGGTCAGGTTTTCCTAGAGACAGTACAACTGCTGTTGTCAGATGCAAGTGCCCTCTCCCAGATTTCCAGAGTTTACATCCCCCAGTGCAGCACTGGTGGTAACTGGAGACCGGTGCAGTGCAATGGCCCTCCCGAGCAAGCCTTTGAATGGTACCAGAGATGGATCAGTGAGAACAATGAAGGCAAAACTCTGCCTGTTACTGACCTTTTCAACATACTAACTGAATATAAAGAAACATCTTCCCAACGCTTTGCAGCCTTTGTTAAGAATCTGTATGAGGCTGGCCACCAAAATATCTTCCCAGCATTCACCAAGTATCCTTTCTTTGATGCTCTTCCTGCTGAAGTCCTGGATGGCAATATAATAACTGAATCAGAGAACATTTTGTTGGACCCATACACATTTTGGCAGCTTCTGCAGGGTCAGCTGAACTACTACCCAGGGTCCTACACTGATTTCAGTGCCCTTTTAGGCCACTTTGATCTTCGCAATTGTTGGTGTGTGGATAACAAAGGAGAAGAGCTGCAGGGAACAAAGACTGAGGTGAACAAAGTGCCAACATGTAAGTAACTACACAGTTTCTGGCTCTTTCTTTATCCCGGTAAGAAAAAGTATTTTAAAATATTGCACAGTAGGAGATAAGTGACCCACTGACCCAACCAATACTGCTAGCATCCGTCGTTGTTGGCAATCCCCCACAGTCAAGGACGATCACTCCCACAGGTCAAGTAAAGGGTTGTAATTGAGTCTGTTGATGGCTAAGATGCTAACATCCAGATGTGAGAGCACTTGTTTTTAGAAAAGAAGAGATCCCTCTCCCTGCAGTTTATTGAAGTGGAGAAATAAAATATGGGACATGTTTACATATTTCAATAGGAAAGAATGACTCTTGTCAGAGTCCAATAGATGTTATCATTTATGGTCCCCGTTTTGAAATTTGAACATAATAAATCTGCAGATAAAAGGTTGACCAAACACAGTTGGGTCTTTTAAAGATAATGAAATGCAGGAATAAGATTTGCTTATACTTGTATGGAAAGTTCATGTATATTAACAGTGATAAAATAAACAGTTTAATAAGGAACTGCAAAGCAGAGAGAGGAATTTCCTTTGCTATTCTTATTAGTCAGTCTTTTATGGACTTTAATTCAGAAAACAACTCAATTAAGTGAAGCATTTCAACATGTTCTTGAGTTCTGCTGAAGTCAACAGGACTTGAAGCACATGCTTAAATATTTTTCTGATGTATGGCTAGAGTAACATAGTGTAGTGAGATTCAAGATTAACGAGGATCATAGAAATATTCTAAATATAGCTAAATATTTGAAGCTGTGTGAGTTTTTCAAAAGCATTCAGCGTTGGCCCAGCTCAATGTTATGAAGTCGGCAATAAAACTCCCATGGAAGTCTATAGTTAGGTCAGCCTGACACACCTGCTGAAGGTCCTGCATAGGTAGTCCACATCACACTAAAGTAGCTGGATCCCATACTTACATCACTTGGGCGTATGGATAGTTCATCATGATATCATAGTTTTCAGGTTGAAGGAGAGAAAGACAATGGCTAGAAGACCTCCAGTAGGAGAACGAATATTGGAGAACTCCAGTGTGCTCTAAAGGCAGGTGGGGAGTAGTGACATTCCAGATTTAGTACTGAGCTGTCTTAGCAGAGCAGGTTGGACAGCTCATTTATCATGTCCCTGATTTTAACAAATGCATCTGAACAAAGAATATAAACATGGAAATGAGAGGCTGTGTGCCAATCATCACCCTGGACACTTTGCTTGTATGCTGCCTCTTTTTTTGCTGATTGTTGATTCTTCAGAGAAGGGGCTGAATCTTTCCATATGTTTAGGTTGTACCTGGTAACACAGCCAGGAATGGAGCAAAGCAGGGTGAACTCCATTTTGGCTGCATCTTGTATGTGCAGTGAGCTCTGAGCTTGCTACCTGGGCTCCTGCTAGAGCTTGTTGTCAGCAGTGAGCTCCAAGTTCACCAACTGATTGGAGCTGGGTTTAGCTAGAGCCCTGCTTGCACAAGTCTCCAGAGCTCAGGGGCTGAATGCTGCTTCAGTTCACCCTTCCCCTCCCTTCTCCGTGCTGGATTCAGAAGTTGGGGAAAGGCGGGGAGCAGCAGCAGTGTTCACCTCCTGTACTCAGGAGCTGAAAGGAGAGGCTCCAGCCAGATCTATATTAAAAGCTCAGGTGTAGCACACTCAAAATGAGGTGTGACCATGCCACTGCACCCCCTCTGGATCCACCCTGACTGCAGATAAACCATAATAATGAGCTCTTTTTGCTCATTTGCTTCCTTGTGTTGCTACAGAGGTGCTTTGTGAAACTGTGCAAACCAATGCACACATACAAAGGAACTAAAGTATGTTAAAGCTGTCCAGTGTGAGTGTTACTAACCTCTCCTGGATTAAATAAAACTAAATACTCACCTCACCCCCTTTACTATCAACAGGCCCTGGTGCATGTGAAAGCATGAAAAAGGAAGCAATGCAGCTTATTGATGAAGCAGAGCAACTCATTGTAGCTTCAGATGATTCCCACTTCCCGTTTGGAGAGAGCTTTTTAATGGCAAAAGGAATACAGCTGATGGACCAGGACCTCCTTCATTTTACTCAATCCTTTCAGTCAGGGACCACGTTCTCTGAAAAATTATTGACTGGCAGTGATTATGCAATACGACTGGCTGCACAATCAAGTAGGTTGGAAGGAAATGCAGCCCTAGTATAATTGGTAAATTGGGACTGATAAGGAACCCTTTGAGATGAATGTCTTTGCTTACAAGAGTTTAGTGCACAAATGAGTCCACAACATTATTTTTACGTACTAAAACTTTCTAGACCAAATTCAGTCTGGCTGAAAATGGCATTTTCTCCATTGCAGTTAAAGGAGTTTCACCTCCCTATACCAGAAGTAGATCTGAATTGTTATGTAATGCAGGGAGTGCCATTAATATCTGGATATTTCTCAGTCATTGCATTTCCCACGGTTTCTTTCCCCTGTCCCTTCTAAACAGGGACTAGAGTAAGGTGCTGTAAATATCCATTTTTAAAATAGCTTTCATTACATGAGGTGTTTTATCAGCTCCATTAATATTTGGCCTTTGTTTTGTAGCCCTGCATTTCTACTGGAGGAATCGTTTCAGTTCAAGAAGTTCTGCTGGAGAAGCCATGCTCTTGGGATTTCATCCTTACGTTCCCCAGTGTGATGGACTGGGGAACTGGGAACCAGTCCAATGCTATGAGAGTACTGGTGAGGGTCCATTAGCAAAATAAGTGTTACTGCTTGTATTAGCTGAGCAAAGGCAAGTCAGATAGGCTAAGAACTGACAGTCAAAAAGCATGAGGCTGAATTGATTCAGTCTCCATAGGTTAGTGTAAACTGCATAGATTGAACTGATAAGCAAGTGAACAGACATTCACTTTTGATTCTAGAAATGCAGCCACATGCCTGCAGTGGCCCAGGCCTGAAGCTGGGTGGGATGCTAGATCATGTCTCCCTGCTCAGCTGGAGCAGACAGCTTGGGCCAAGGCTTGCCTGCCCACCCTGCAGGTGGGGGGGATGCAAGGCATGCTGGGATGCTAAGGGACTGAGAGTTAACTTGAATCTGGAGGGGATCTGGACAGTAGTTCAATTAACCAATTTACCCTGTCAGTTAAGTCTGACACTACAACCATCCAGGTTTATCTTAAACCAGTTTCGACCATTTTGAAAGTGGTTTATATGCACTGAACTTTTCTTGTATTACAGATTTGAATTGGCTTCCAGTCACTTATACTGGTTTATGTGTAATTTCTGTCCCTAGCCATTGTGTTTGAACATAACAAAACAGGAAATAGCATCAGGGGTTATTTCTTACTCCAGACTATTTTGTCCGCTGCTATGTTACATCTGCATTTCCAGGGGAAAGACCATAGAGACAATGTAAAGATACTAGGCCAAATTATGGCCCACTAAGTGTACTTTGGGGTGGAATCACTGGGTGGTCCCTGACTGTCACAGCTGTGGCACATGCTGCAGAGTGGGACAGCAGTGAAGCAATCACCAGAAGTCTGTTTCCTCTGAAGCAATTTGGAGGAATTCCAAAGCCACTCTAAATTATCGAAGGGAATGGCTCAGAACTGACCTAAGAGTTGCCTTTTTCTTCTGATACCAGCTCTTGCTTTGCCTCATTTACCTCCTAACCTCCCCCACGTTATGGTTTTGTGCAGCAGCAGCAACAACAAAAAAAGAACATTTTGAGTCTATTAGGATATGAGTTTGAAAATGAATCTTCTTATAAACACTATGCACAGGCCAAATTTGATCTGGTATATCAAATGACAGATGTTTCAAGCGATTCCAGTGAAGTCTCATCAGTTGTAAACCAGAGTTAAACAGGGCCTTGTATGGTTCATATATGGATTTGCTCTTTGTCACCTGAGTTATATCTGACAGAACAAGGAACACCCTGGATCTTTGGCTAAACTACAAACTAGAGCCATGATACTGAGGTTGAATCTTAGTTGGCATATCCATAGGCTTGCATGGACTAGCCTGTGGGATGATCAAGATATTAAGAATTTGTGTAGTTTGGGTGAGTTTATGAATTAAAAACAAAAATCACATGCTTCTGCATTTCTAAGCTTGACTGGGGACCAGAACTGGAAATGCCAGTGTTTGCAAGCATTACACACAGCTGCTTTTCTGGGATCTGGATAGAGCAGCTAGCCTAATCTGTTGTGTTCATCACAACCCTGCCTTATAGGTCATGTGCAGCATTCCTGCAAAACAATAAATACAGTTCTTCTTGGGTTCAGGTCAACTTTAGCTAATGATAAATCAGTCAAGGGACTTACAGTTTCCAGACTAAGGCTACTGTTATCTTGCCCAGGTCACTGCTGGTGTGTGGACGAGCAGGGACGTTATGTCATGGATTCTCTGCGTGTACGCTCAGCACAACTCCCAAAATGTAAGTTACATTTTCCACCTGCCGCATTCTTAGCTGACACAGAGAAGCAATTAACCTTTATTAGTGTGTTGCAGTATAGATTTGAATCTTTACTGAGATATTTACTAAGTAGCCTACAGCATAACACAAGTTTCTTGTAACCACACCAAAAGAAGAAAACCGAAGGAAGAGTTTTAATTTGATCTTTTGTTTTGTAGCTGGAAGAGCCTGCGTGCTGCTGCCTCAGATATTTGGCAGTCCTTTTGATTTCCTGATTTATCCTTTAGCTTGATGTGATTTAGGAGTGGGCACCATTTTTCAAGAAAGTGTTCTGTTTTATGGAGTTCACAATTTCATGAACTGTATTAGCCTATACGTTCACTACAACCTAGTACTGAGTAGAATCATAAGTGCCCAGCTGAGTTTCAGATGTCCTTTGCTGCTAACATCAAACAGTCCTTTGTGATTGTATTGCAATAATACATAGGCATACTTTTAAGCACTGGAATAATTCCCATCTTTAATTATGTGATGAGAACAATTGAAGCTAAGCATCTACTTAAGTGAAGCCAGACTGACACTCAAGCAAAAGGGACATAGGTTTTTGGTTGTAAGAATCTGAGTCATCTCCTAAGCCTCTTGGAGCTACAGAGAACTGACAACAGATTTGTTTAATTAAAGTATAATTCCATTTACATCTGAGAAGTCTCCTTTCCCGTAGGCCCTCCAAGATTCTTGTTATCTAAAGAACCATTTTTCCTTTTCAACCTTTAAACGCACTGAAACCTGGTTGCTGTCTCCTTGTAGCATGGATGAAAATACTAAGCATTCTGCTGAGGTGTTTTCCACATTGATTGTCCTTTAGTTTCCTGTGCAACTCCAGCTGTATCGGTAGACTCCCAGCACCTTTCAACAGAGGCCAGCAGAGGGGACTTGTCTGTTTTCATTGCTGGGCTAACTCATTTGAAGTCAGTGACATTACTCTGAGAAGGAATTGTCCCTTTACCTCTTTATTCTGATTGGTTTGCAACAATTGCTGGTACACAAAGGGCACATCTACATGAGATGTTAACTGCACAGTAGCTTAATAACACTCTGCGATAGTGTGGTGGGGCAAAAAACATGCTAATGTGCTATTGCCTAGTAGTATTAGGCTGTGTCAAGGCACCTTTGCCTGCCACTTTAAGAGCTTGAGCGGGCTGTAGACCAGCCTGCAGGTGGGAGAAGACCCAATCAGGTGGTCACATGGGAGTCAGGAGGCTGCCTGATTGGTGTAGGGCTAGGCAGCCAGGTTATAAGACCAGACTCAAAGAGCAGGGCTGCCAGTTGCAACTGGGGAGCCAAAGGATGAAGTCCTCTCGGCCAGAGTACTTCTGGTCTCAGAACACCTGGAGGTCAAGGGTAGGAACTAAGGGGATGGAGGAGGTTCCTGGTCCTTGGGCATAACCTGAAACTACACCGTGCTGGGGTTAGATGGTGTGGTGGGGCTGCTTATGGGAGGGCAGCTTCCAGGAAATGCCACACCTGTGCCCCCTTAGTGAAAAGTGAGTATGGGGCTCTGGAAAGCCTCAGCCCCTGCTGCCTTGCAGGTGCTCTGTAGAGGGGAAAGGCTAGGGGAGCACACCCCGCCAGAAAAGCACAGGCACCCAGGTCCACTGAGTGGGGCCTGAGGCAGGGTTCAGGTCTATTGAATGGCATCTGAGATAGGGCCAAAGTCCACGTAGAAGGACGGGAGGCTCCTGTAAGGGGACAGAGTAGTGGCCTCAGTGAGGGAGTGAAGTGGCTACTGCTGGCTGCCTTCAGTAGGGCCCAAGGGGGCCTGAAGGACTACTCATAGGCCCCAGTGAGGAGGCATGTAGCTGGAGCATGTCTAAGGACATCTAAAGCCAAGTTTGGGCCAGAGGCTGAGTGCAGCCCAGCAACGGGGCTGGGGGAGTTGGAAATAATTTTTGGATGCCATCTGTGAGGCACAGCACACAGTGTAGGGGTGCTATGGAGCCATGTATTACACCGTTGGCCTCAGGGCGTTAAATGGTCAGCTTCCTGCCTAGAAACAACTTCTTTTCAAATATAACAAAGGCATGGCAGGTGAGTTAGGTGGGCGAACTGCCCTAGACAGGTGGGCAGGCTGAAGTAGGTGGCTGGCCCTGAGATGGCCCCCTGTCACAGGCTACTGTGTAGCAAGCATCACTAAAAGCCCATGTAGTGGTGCTACTGCACAGTAGCATGAGTTACTACATATTGATTTAGTACTTGGCTATCCAAGTACTAAACTTCATGCACAGTAATCACAGTGCATTAATGAACGTGTTGATGCAGCCAAGGAGAATGAGCACTTTCTGTGTAGACACAAAGGTTTCTTTTGGGAGATGCCTGTCTGGGACCATAGGAGAGTCCAAAGGAGATGAGTAGTAAATGTGGTGCACTTTTATGCCCTTGGGCAGTGGCAGGAGATCAGATTTATTTATTGTGTTAACAGAGCTGGAATGAATATTTTCTTTCTCTCAAAGGCCAGACATCATGTCAGCGGTCTCGAGCCAATGCTTTAATTTCCAGCTGGAAGCAGAGTGGAGCACCATTCAACACTGCTCCTGCAGACCTGTTCATCCCCTCATGTCTAGAGGCAAGTTAATGTGACCAGGTGTGGAGGGCGGAGGGGAGTAAGCTTTCCCCATCTAGCTTATTGCTTCTGAAGTCCTGGGCACTTGCATTTTCAGGGCGGAGGAGCTCCCAGACTCCTCCATTCATGCAGTCACATCACTCTTAAGGGGGAGGCAGGCCTCTGAGCAAAGTCTGGTGCATGCAGGAGAATGGCTGTCATTCTCCTTCAGAGATGGTTTAAGTTGTTCACAGGTAATGGAGAAGGGATAGTATCCTCTGAGGTATTTTTCCCAGCCAAGCTTTCCCTGGATAACATGGCTGTGTTCTCAGATCTCAATGGCACAGTTAAGTTAACTGACTTTTAGGTGGCCTATTTCAATGTATTCTACCAATAGCAGTTAAAAGCTGGACCTGAAAGACTGAAGTCAGTGCCATCTGTCCCCAGAAAAACGTCCAGTGGGATTTCCATTCATTTGACTGGAGTTTTGGAAGGGGATGAGGGCTACCATGGCATTTAAACCTGCATTTTTAAAAAAAATACAGTTGTCCTATGAATAGTTTTTAAATGTGCGAGAGCTGCTTCTGCTAGAGCCTGGCTTCCTGTGTGGAATCAGGCTATCATAGCAGCTCCGATTATGGAGGTTCATCTTGTCACTGCTTTCTTTTAATGCAAAACTGAAGACTTAATCCTAAGCAAACATCTATTAATCAGGACTTTTGAAAGTGGGTTCTGGCCCATGCTGTGTGCATTATTAGTAGCCTTTTGAAAAAGTGTTGTGCTCGGCAGTGATATTGTAATTGGTTCTTTTCAGACTGGTGAATACACCATGGTGCAGAAATTGGACTCAGATGTGCAGTGTGTGGATCCCATGTCAGGCGAAGTGCTTCAGCACAGTAGCCAGGATTCAGATGACAAACCCCAGTGTAAGTATCAGCAGAGAGTGACTGCATTGCTTCCCCAGTGCACTTAAGGATGTTTCTGAGAAACACAGCCCCCACTACCTGCTCCCTGTTCAGATGCAACAGACCTGAAAATGAGGTAGGAAAGCTGCTCCAGGGGTACCTCTCCAACTCCCTGATGCTCTAGGGCATGCCTCAGACAAGGGTATGAAGAGATTACTGCAGTGTTGGAGATGCAGTTAAACAGGAGTCCTTGTTAGGAGAGCATGACCCTGTCCTCTACCCCTATTTCTTGTGTGGCTTGATGTTATGATGCCAGGAGTTGCAGCTAGCAAGGTTTGTGGAGGGTAACAAGAAGAGTTTCTACAAGTATGTCAGTAACAAGAGGAGGATCAGGGAAAGTGTGGGTCCCTTACTGAATGGGGGAGGCAACCTAGTGATAGATAATGAGGAAAAGGCAGAAGTACTCAATGCCTTTTTCCCCTTAGTCTTCACAGGCAAGGTCAGCACGCAGACTACTGCACTGGGCAGCACAGTTTGGGGTGGAGGTGAGCAGCCAACAGCAGTGAAAGAACAGGTTAGGCACTATTTAGAAATGCTGGACATGGGGCCAGACAGGATGCACCCAAGGGTGCTGAGAGAGTTGGCTGATGTGATTGCAGAGCCACTGGCCATCATCTCTGAAAACTCATGGTGATCAGGAGAGGTCCCAGACAATTGGAAAAGGGCAGACATATTTAAGAAAGGGAAGAAGGAGAATCCAGGGAACTACAGACCAGTCAGCTTCACCCTAATCCCCAAATAGATCACGGAGCAGATCCTCAAGGAATCCATTTTTAAGCACTTGGACAAGAAGGTGATCAGGAACAGTTGGCATGGATTCACCAAGGGCAAGTCATGCTTGACCAACCTGATTGCCTTCTGTGATGAGATGACTGGCTCTGCGATGCAGGAAGTGCAGTGGATGTGATATACCTTGACTTTAGCAAGGTTTCTGATATGGTCTGCCATAACATTCTTGTAGGCAAGCCAAGAAAGTATGCGTTGGATGAATAGTCTGTAAGGTGGATAAAAAATTGGCTGGATAATCAGGCTCAGAGGGTAGTAGTCAGTGGCTCAATGTCTAGTTTGCAGCCAGTATCAAGTGGAGTGCCTGTCAGGTTGGTCCTGGGGCCAGGTGTGTTTAATATCTTCATTAGTGACCTGAAAGATGGCATAGAGTGCATCCTCAGCAAGTTTGCAGATAACACCAAGCTGGGGGGAGCAGTAGATTTGTTGCGGGGTAGGGCTAGGATTCAGGGTGACCTAGACAAGTTGGCAGATTGGGCCAGAATAAATCTCATGTTCAATAAGGACAAGTTCAAAGTCCTGCTCTTAGGCCGGAGCAATCCCATGCACCAGTACAGGCTGGGGGCTGACTGGCTGGCCAGCAGCTCTGCAGAAAAGGTCCTGGGGGTCATAGTGGACAATAAACTTAATATGAGGCAGCAGTGTGCCCTTGTTGACAAGAAGGCTAATGGCATACTGGGCTGCATTAATAGGAGCATTGTCAGCAGATCGAGGGAGGTGATTCTTCCCCTCTATTCAGCACTGGTGAGGCCACCTCTGGAGTACTGTGTTCTGTTTTGGGCCCCCGCTACAGAAATTGGACAAATTGGAGAGAGTCCAGCGGAGGGCAACAAAAATGGTGAGGGGTTGGGGGACATGACTTCTGAGGAGAGTCTGAGGGAATTATTTAGGCATATTTAGTCCAGGGAAGAGAAGACTGAGGGGGGATTTAATAGCCACCTTCGGCTACTTGAAGGGGGGTTTGAAAGAGGGTAGTAAGGCACTGGAACAGATTACCCAGACAGGTGGTGCGACCTCCATCCTTGGAGGTTTTTCAGACCCGTCTAGACGAACTTGGCTGAGATGATTTAGTTGGGGCTGGTCCTGCTTTGAGCAGAGGGTTGGACTAGATGACCTCTTGAGGTCCTTTCCATCCCTAATTTTCTATGATTTCTACGATGCTTTGACTCGTTTTTTTTAAAGGCAGGATCAATACCTTGGTTCCTTTGTTCTGCTGCTGGGGATTTTCTCTTGTTTGCTTCCTGCGGCAAAGGTGGAGAAAACTAGGTTCTCTTTAGATGGTCATTACCGACTCGTTATTGTCCCTGGAAGAGTTTCTTTACAACCCTGTTAGCAAACAGATTGTTCTACAGTCAAACCATGATATGACAGCATCCTTATTACAACTTCAGGGGTGGATTCGGAGGGGTACAGCAATGCAGTCACATCCCACCCCTTTGACTGTGCCACATGTTCTTATGAGCCCTGCTTTCATCAGAAAAGGTTCATTTAAGAAAAACAAAACTGTCTGAAGGAAAGAGTTATTTTTGATGAAGATCCTAGTTTAAATGCCTCTCCCCCACCCCAATTTTAAATAGTCAAGATGGGCTTTTAAAATGTTTTTTCTAAAATCATTTTGCTTTTCAGTTTGAAATGACTTTTTGTTTAGAAATGTTACTTAATTTATAGTATGTGTATATTAATTAAAGTGTTAATTAAAAATATAACAAAACCCAAACAGTACCTTTCAAAGTTCTCAAAACAAAATGCTTCAAATGACAGTTTGATTTTTTTTTTTTTCCTCCAGATTATTAGTTCATGACATTTTTGTTGTTTTTGGTCCTAATTTCTGTCCTATTTCATCTCCAGCTCTACTAAGAAAGTTCATTAACTAGAATGGCAATAGGAGGTGAACCAAGGGACTTAAACACAGCCAGAGAAAAACAGTCAATATTATATTTGCCCAGGTCGCATATTTATACAAAACTCACTTTGTGCAGATTCAAGTAACTTACATTTTATTATGCTTATCTTGTAGTTATAGTAGTATCTGCTCTGTATCTGTTTTGATGCAAACTTAACTGTGATCTCATGTCAGTGTTTATTATCTTTCTTGACCATGAAAAGCCCTCAAATTGAAGTATTGTGTGTGTGAGGTGTGGTGTTTCAAACCAGTCGCAGCGAGTACTGCAGTTCATTTCTGCAGATGCTCGGAGTTTCTTTTTTATACTCCCCCCGCCCCCCATAGTCAGTCTCTTGTCTTTAAAGGTCCTGCTCTCTGTAGCATGCTGAAGCCAAAAACGAGTTCACGGGAAATCGGCAAAGGGTACATCCCTCAGTGTGAGGGGAACAATGGGAGCTTCTCACCAGTGCAATGCAGCCAGGATGAGGAAAGCTGTTGGTGTGTCTTTGAGAGTGGAGAAGAAGTGCCTGGATCACGAGTAAGCGGAGAAAGGCCTGCGTGTGAAAGTGAGTTGCCGTTGCAGTCAAGCACTTCAGTGCAGAACTAGACCTAGATCTAAACTTCCCCAATGTTTTGCTGCCTTTGGGTTTAAGGTTCCTCTTCAACCCGTCATATGGTTTGGACACATGACACAATTGCTATGAAGTAATTTATCCCAGTTTTTACTCTGAAGTAAGGAGAGGGCATGCAGCCAACTATAGCAAGCAAGTTGCCTGTTGTAGGTGTTGTTATGTAAACTGGTGTTAGGTGGTGGGGCAGCTGGGGATGAAAACAAATGGGAGACTAAACATATGATGCATTTATGTACTAACTTTCTCACATAATAAAGTTGCTGCATTTTTTTCAAGGGATAAATGTACCCTGGATTTGAGTAGTTTAGCATATAACAGGGTAGTGTCCTGTGTCTGCTCTGGTTTCACAGTATAGCAAAGTCAGTTTACTACATAAACGTGTTTTGTATCTGCACCCAGAGAGATTAGTGTCCTTGTTAATTTTATATTTGCGTTACAGAAGTAAGTATATCTTCCAGCCAGCCTGGGTCTATGGCCCAAACCTCTTCAGGGTTCAGAAGGTTGTGCTTTTGGTTGAGTATGAGTGACAGTTTTGAAGTCAAGGGCCAATCTTAGTGGCAAGAAAAACTCAGGATGGATGAGCCAGCTAAACTACATTAAGACCAAACCAAAATGTTTGCCCAAGAGTTTGGTCTGAGCCGTAATGCATTAAGAATAAAATATAAATAAATAAATATATAAAAATTAGTAGATACTAAAAAACACATATTCCTGTAATTCCTGCTTTTGGCTGTCAAGCAGGTTTATGAAATGGATGTGCCAAAATACTATTTGTTCAGAGAATATTTCCTGCCTGGATAAAGACATGCAGAGCTGGAATTCTGTCAAGGATTCCAATACTATTTCCAAACTGGAGAGAGATGGATAAAATTAATTTCTTAATAATTCTTGTAGATTCCCTATCACTGAAGCAGAACAATTGAAACTTTCTTCAGGATTGTGCTCCATATTGCAGTGACTCATAGAAATTTAAAACCCCTCTACAAAATGAGCAGTATTCTCTGCAGGATGTCTTTGAAAGCTGTGTTCTGTTTATTTTTAAATGAATGTTGTTGTTGGTAGACTAAAGCAGGCCACACAATAAGAATGTATTTAGGATTTCCTATATGTTTCTGGGATTGTAAAGTTCTACAGCTTCATATACCAAAGAGAATACCTGACTCTTAATGCAGGCTGCTGCAACAAGAAAAAAAATAACCACATGGATGAATCCTTGGTGAAGCTGTAAGCTAATGTATTGCATTGTTTCCGTTGCATTATATTGCAATAATGAACCATCCTGTTGGGGTGATCTTACAAGCAGCCGGGAGGTCTGTGGACCCTAAGAGAATAGGATACTATGAGGGTGTCGGGAAGAACTGAGAAAGCTGGAAGGGCTCTAGATAGGCCTGAAGAAGAGCCTGAGTTGGCAGAAGGAAGGTGTAGAAATGATCCAGAGTAGATCTGAAACTCTGAAATCTCTGCTCGGTCCTTATGTTCCTTGAAGGTCAATAGGAGTTCACTGTGAGAGTGGACTGAGTGGGGATTAAGGGTCTAATGACTCTGAGCTGCAATCCAAGGGCATGTACATAGGTTACACTTACTATGCATTAAGTGTACAGAAAGTGCTCTAAACTGTAACTGAGGAGAAGTTCATAGCACATAAAGCACTTTAAAAATGGTGGATTCCACTCCAAGATAACACTGGATGGATGTGGTATCAGAATAAAGCACTTCAGGTTAGAGCACTTTATCAAACATTTGTATTGCATCCCATCCTGAGTCAAAGTAGGACTCATTCTGCTGGCATCCTGGGGCCCCTCCCTGGGTGTCTAGCGAGCCTCAGCCAGCGCTTGTCTGCTCCAGGCAGGCACCAGCCCAGCTTTGCCCCCTGGGCTGTCACAGAGAGGAGGCAGAAAAGGCTCTGTCTCCTCCCTGCCAGGCCAGGCAGGGGGGTAGGGGAACAGAGCCTCTCTGTTATGTGTCTCCCCCCCCCCCAACTTGTGGGCTTGGGTCTGGATGGGGGCCAGGTCCAGGTCCATGTGGCAGAGGGGTTTCTCTTCACTCCCTCCCCCCTAGCCACAGTTCCTGGTGAAAAAGCAGTGCATCCAGGAACTGCAGCTGGGGCAATGAAACCTCTCTGCTGTGCGGACCAGCCTGGCCCCCACCAAGACCTGTGCCCACAACCTGGGCTTGGCGGGACTTGGCATTCTCCTGGGAGGCATGCAGAAACACCCCCAGCCTGCTGGCCTCAGCTGCCGCAGGCAGCCTCTGAGCCCCCAACCCCCCTCACCGAACAGCGCATGTGTGTTCTGTTCTGTCCTGACCTAATCTAGAGCGCTTTAAGTAAAGTGCTTTATTTCAAGCACTTCTGCCTTGGGCTCTTTGAATGGTTGTACTTAGCCCAAGATGTCGGGTGCAAGATAGTGCTTCAGAGATGTCAGTGCCACGTGGATCTCTCCGATTTGTCCTGAACACCAGGCGCGGTAACAACCGAAGAGTGGACAAGAAGTTTTTAAATGAGATGCTGCTTCAGCTCCAAGTGATTAGAAACGCTGATTTGAAAATCTCACATAAGAGATTTTTGTTACTTTCTGGTTGTGGTGAGGCTGGGAAAATACTCTGAGAATAATCTTTTTTGTGGTGTTTTGTCACATCTGCTTGTGGAAGCACAGAGGAAAGGGAAAATGGGATGAGAAAAGCTAATGGGACTTCTTCCAGTGTAAACAGCTTGGGCAGTGCTGAGGGTAAAGGTTCAGTAGTTTATTTCCCTCGGCCCATCCAGCCTGTACCCCTGGTTCCTCAGCATTATTGTTAATAGCTCTGTGGAAGAGAAAAGGGGTAGGCCAAAGTCATATCATTATTCTGGACACATTGTCCATCAGCAAGGAAGTCTGTTGTGGTGGGAGAGTGCAATAAATCTCTTCTCCTGTATCCAAACAGACAGCTGTAAACTGAAATAATAACTTTAGAGCGCCTGGTGCACACAATAAGGTTTTCATTAAACTAAGCGTTTCCATAATGGAGTTTGGTCGAACCCCTCCAACTTCTAGCGAACGTATGTCAGTGCTTTGATGCCAAGTATCTTAATACTCCCTAGCACACATGTTCCAACCTGATGCTCACTTTCCACAGCTCAGAAATGGGAGAGAGAGAATGCTTCGAGTTCAGAGGGAAGCTTTTCCCTACAGATCTCTTTTAGAAGTGCTTGGGGAAGAAGTTTCAACGCTGTACTGAATGACTAGTAAGCCTTATGGATAAATTGCCAGGGACTGGGTGGAAGGTGCTAGACGCTGTGTTTTTACAACAGCAGCAAAAAGACCCCAGCTGATCTGTGATATCATTTTATGTTTGTTCTAACCCACTGTAAGTGGGATCTAAATCTCTGCAGTTTATCCCCAGATGGAACAACTGCTAAGTGACTACAGTTTAACTTCCATATACCACGGGATAGCGTGGAGAGTCTGGTTTCAGCCTTGTGAATGAAAAAGCTAATAGTTGCAACCATTCAGACTGAATGTAAAGCAGTTTTGTGATGATCTTTTTACTGTATTCGTAATTTTATAAAGGTGCTATCGAGATTTATAAAGTAGCATAAGAGTTTGAAAGTAAGGGAATGAGCAGCTGACCGTTCCCGTAGCTCAGCGCTGTCGTATCGGGTGCTGTGGAGTGTCCTGCACCGAAGATGTGAGGATTGGAAAACGGCTATTTTTAGAAAGAAAATGAGCCCTCTGATGAGACATTCCGGAGAGGCAGAATACATTACTTTTATGGCTGCTTCTGATTTAAAGGCAATTATTTTCTCTCATCTTGTTCTCCAGAAGCTGGGAGGAATGTAACTAATGCCTGTAGTATTTGATTATAGCTTGGTGGGTTAGGAATGCACTAATATTGAGCAAAATGATGGGGTTGTAATAACTACAACAACTCAACAGTTTTATAATAGACTATCCGTACTGCTTCAAGGTGGAATTGATGCTCATGTTTTTCCACTCGAGTGGCCATATTACCCTCTCGTAGAAGCACAGGACTCCAAGTGTCATCCTGGGTCATCAGCTTCAGGCCCGTTAGCTCTGGTAATCACAATCCTCTTTAGAAACCGGTCAGGCTCCATTTTAAAATTAGTCGTATGTTCTGTCTGCGTAACTCCTACTGAGAGGCTTTGACCTTATGTAACTTGGTGGGCTTACACCCATGTACAAAACGGTCCACATAGACCTACTGAGACACTGTTTGGCCTGTTTTGAGAAACTCAGCTCTGATGGTTACAAACCACCTCTTAGTTCCATTTATACAGGGCCATTTTTCTACCGATTTGTTTTCTTAAGTGCCCAGCAGAGACTATACAAGTCCTTTCACTGGCTTCTTAGAGCATGCAACATAAATCCAGTTCAAATTGACATTAGTGTGTGCACTATGTATCTGGGTGAGATGCAATATATTTTCTTGCTATGACACATAGCTGTTACTTGGACATTTTACCCTGAATAGTTAATTTTTTTTCTTCTGTCGTGTGTCCATTTCTTCATGTTCCTAGGTCCTCAGTGTGTCCTGCCATTCGATGTCTCGCGTGTGGTCAATGGAGTGATTTTCTGTGAGACCATCTCGGATCAAAATCGGAAATCCCAGCAGTGCCAACTGGTTTGTCGTCACGGCTTCCAAAGTGCCTTTTCCAGCAAGAAGTTCATGTGTGACGTGGAAAGTCAGCGCTGGATTTCAGATCCCCCCCTCTCTCAAACCTGTCAGAGTATGTGCAACTGCTAGGATACTAACTCTGTCCTACCGACTGAGAGAAAGTTGCTCAGCTGTCATGGACGTTTATTGCTTTTGCCTTTGCCAACCTAGGATGCAGGAAAAGTAAAGAAAGTGAATAGAAATGAAGCTAGTTCTAATTATAGGTGGAAGTAATCAGATTAGTTTCTAAGTGGGGGCTTACAGTAGGTAAATTTTGCTTTCTGTCTTCATATCATTGCTTTCTTTCAGTTGGCTCCTGTGCCCTGAACAATCTCCCAGTTCTGTGATAATATAGATCTAAATAGATGAATATTTAATCTAAATGCAGATTTTCCTTTGTAAGTGAAAAGATGCTGGCATCGTAAAATGCTTCTGATGGGACCACTTACTCCTGACAGAGCAGATGAACACCAGATGTTTGGATTTGGCAGAAGTTGACTGTTTATTCGCATAATCAAGTAACTTTGTGTTACTTATGCATCTTTCTGTAGCAATCTGTTCTCTAGGACGAATGCCATCTTTACTGGCTGCCTCTTGGTATTTCCCCACTCCCCTCAACCTTCATTCTTCTAAGTATAAAAAGCACCTCAAAACATAGAAGCTGCAGATATCTGCTTGGAGCCTGGGTGATCAGCTGGTCTTGATAGTGCTTTTTAAACAGAGGTGGGATGTGATCAAAATGTCAGATTTGAACATACGTGAACTTCAAAACAATATAGCTCCGGTTTTGGATTACATCTTTGTAGCTGGCCTTGACCTAATATAAGAATATTGCCAATGTATTTCTCATAAAAATGCGGGTAAATTTGTGGTTTCATATATCAATCTGAAATTGGAAGTCCATGCCCACCCTTAATCCAAGGCCTAAAGAGTTGCCTCTTTTTTTTTTTTTAAATATGTTCTAAAGTGATCTTAGCCTTTCCAGAACAAAAATGGATCTATACTAGGGCTGTGCGAAATGGCACCATTCCATTTTGATTTGAGTTTTGAGGTTTCCATGAAACAGTATTTTGTTTTTAATTTTATTTCAATTCAAAACTGCTGTTCCGTTTTGCTTCATCGAAACGGTGATGCTGTTTCAGCGTTTTGCCCATTCGCTATAATGGGGAAACTTGAAACAGCCCCTCTCATCTGGCAGGTAGATGGGGGCCCGCAACACCAGGAGGGCTGTGGCAGTCCTCCCGGGGCTGGAGACCCCTGATCTGCCTGCCAGATGAGGAAGGGAAGCCGAGTGCTGCTGCCTAGGACTAGGGAGCTGGGGAAGGGAACTGAGCCCAATCGCTCAGTTCCCCTCCCCAGTGCTACAATTGGGCTGGGGAAAGGAACTGAGCCCAGCTGAGCTAAGTTCCCTTCCACAGCCCCACCATAGCTCAGTTCCCTTCCCTTGCACTGAGCCCCGGGCTCAGTTCCCTTCCCTGCCACTGTGATCGGCTTCCTGCAGCCCAGCGGCATGAGACTGGGAGTGCAGCCCTGGTTCTCCCCTGTTTCCCACCAGCTGGCTGCTTTGAAACTCGAAACATTTCAAAACTTTTGAAATGTTTCAGCTAGCCTCATTTTGTTTCGAGGCTGTTTTGAAGCCTGTGGTTTTGCTGTTTCAAGCTCGAAATGAATCAAAACAGTGTTGAATCGAAACAGCTGGCAAAATTTTGCACAGCCCTAATCTATACATTAATATAAGGCTAGAGGGAAGCACTGAGAGAATCTAATTGAGCTTCTATACAAAGCTCAGGCCACAGCACCTCTCTGAATTAATTCCTGCTTCAACTAGAGAAAAACTTGTAGAAAAATAAATATCCACCTTAGCTCTTGGTAAGTGGTTCCAATGGATACTGATCCCCACTTGAAAAGATTTAAACTTTATTTTGTTTCTGAATTTGTCTTACTTCAGCTTTCTGCCCTTTGAACTTGTTATACTCTGGTCTCGTAGGCTCAAGAGCCTTCTATCCTGAGTTTTGTGTTTCTCAGGTATACGCCTAAAAGTGTAGCCAAGTCAAACTTCCACCTTCTCTTTGTAAACTAAATAGATTTTGAATCCTTTTCTATATATCATATTTCCTATTATTTTCATTATTTCTGTGACTTTTCTCTGAACCCTCTTCAATTTTTTAACATCCTTCTTGAACTGTGGGCACTGGATCTGGGTGTAGTAGTCCAGTATTAGTTGCATCAGATCCAAATGCATACACACATTTATCTGTTCCGATATCTAAAGATCATATTTCCCCTTTGGTCCACAGCAGTACACTGGGAGATCATGCTCAGATGATAAATTGGCACAGTATTCAGGTCTTTCTTGGAATCACTGCTTTTTAGGATAGTTTCTTGCCTTGAATCTAATGTAATGATGCCTTGAATTCTTTACTTTAGCCAAAGTGCAATACATATTGTTTGCTTGTGTCTGGCTTACCCAACAACCCATATTGACCTGCAATCAGTAACCTGTCCTCTTCATTGTTTGCCACCCTCCCAATCCTTGTCATTTGCAAACTCCACCAGAAAATACTTTTTCTTCTAGGTCATTACTAAAAATGTTATTTTGTGTCATATTTTGCGTCAGACCAAGAACTTATCCTTGCAGGTTCCTACTGGAAACATGCTCAGTCAATGAGGATGCCATGTTTACAATTAAATTTTGAAACAGATGAGTTCATAGAATTATAAAAATTAAGGGCTGGAAGGGACCTTGAAAGAGCGAGTCCAATCCCCCTGCTCCGGCAGGAATATTGCTGAGACCAAATGATCCCAACAAGGTGTCCATCCAGTGTACTCTTGAAGATTTCCAAGGTTGGTGAGTACACCACCTCGTTGGGAAGTCTGTTCCAGATTCTGGTCACCCTTACCATAAAGAAGTTCTTCCTTACATCCAACCTGAAACCATCCTCTAACACTTTTATGGTCATTGCTCCTTGTCCTCCTCTGGGGTGTCCTTGTGAACAGTTTTTCTCCCAGCTCCTGATATTCACCCCTTACATACTTATAGATGGCCACCAAGTCCCCCCTTAGTCTTCTCTTCCTCAGGCTGAACAGTCCCAGAAGTTTTAGTCTTTCCTCATAAGGTTTGTCCTGCAGGCCCTTAATCATTCTTGTGGCCCTTCTCTGGACCCTTTTAAGATTCATCATGTCTTGTTTTGAAGTGTGATACCCAGAACAGGACACAGTACTCCAGCTAGGAGCTCACCAACACTGTATACAGAAGAACTATCGCTTCCTTAGCCCTGCTCATGATGCATCGGCTAATGCATCCCAGTATGCTATTAGCTCTGACTACAGTGTTGCTCTGGTGGCTTATGTTCATCCTGTGATCAGTCATAACTCCAGGCCCCTTTCAACCATCATACTGGCCTCCTAACCTATATTCATGTTGCTGGTTACTTCTCCCCAGATAAAGCACTCTGCATTTACCTTTATTGGACTGCATCTGGTTCTGCTCTGCCCACCTTTCCAGCTTGTCCAGGTCCTCTTGGATCCACATCCTGTCCCCTAGTGTGCCCGCTTTTCCCGCAAACTTGGCCAGTGTGCTTTCCACATCCTCTTCTATATCGTTGATAAAGATGTTGAACAGCACGGGCCTAAGAACCAAACCCCACAGGACACCACTGGCCACCTCCTACCAAGATGGTACAGACCCATCCACTACCACTCTCTGGGTTTGACCCCTTAGGCAGTTCCCAACTCACCTGACTATGGACTCTGCCAACCCACAATCCTCCAGTTTTTTTATAAGAGCATCATGGGGAGACCATATCGAAGGCCTTTTTAAAATCCAAGTATATGACATTAACCATGTCTTCCACATCTAAGCAGTTGGTTACTTGATCATGGAAGGAGACTAGGCTGGTCAGACATGAGCTGTCTGCAACAAAACCATGTTGGCTATCCTTCAGCATCATGCTCTGTGCCACTCTCTCTCAAATGGACTTTGTGATAATTTTTTCCAAAATTTTATCCAGTATCAAGGTCAAACTTCTTAAAAATTGGCACCACATTGGCATTTTTCCAGTCTTCTGGGACCTCTCCCAAGTACAATGAGTCCTCAAATACCCTTGCCAACAGTCCCACAATGACTCCAGCCAACTTCCCTCAGCATTCTCAGGTGTAGTCCATCTGGTCCTGCCAACTTGAAGACTTTCAGCTGCTTTAAGTGCTCCTTCACCAGTTCAACACTGAACATTGGTTGGCAATCACCACCCCTGCATCTGTCCAGTATCCAGACAGGCCAGTTCCACCATTTGTTTAGAGTTACCTAGCTTTTTAATACATGTCACATATGTATCACAGTGGGTTTGTATTGTTTTAGCTTTATCAATGAAATGCTATGCATTATCTTACAAAGTCATCCTTTTTGAATTATTTGCACAATGTTAGGCTTTTTTCCATTCCTCTGAAACTTTCCTTGTTTGAAGACTTACTAAAAATCAACATCAGCAGTCTGGAGACCTCATCCTCCTGGGTTACTGTTGCAATGGAAAGTATGTCATTATCATCACAGCAAACCTTTTCTTAACACAAAACAGAAATATTCATTCTGAATTTCTGTCTTCCTTCATTATCATTGACAATTCTACCTCTTCCAACTATTCATGGACCAATGCTGCTGATACACAATCAAAGCTTGTATGACAGTGCTGAAGGCTTTCCTATCATGTAACTATATTTCCCCAAGGTAATTCTGACAGGCAGTTTTTATACATGAGTCATGAATATTATGAATAATAAACTCTCTTTTCTCCTTTAGAGCTCCAGTTGTTTCAAACAGTCCAGGCTCAAACACAGTTCCAGCTACTGCTGCCTTCTGGGAAGGCCTGCAGTTCTGACTACTCTGGATTACTACAGGCGTTCCAGATCTTTATATTAGATGAACTGAAAGCCCGTGGATTCTGTCATATTCAGGTATTTCTCTATTCTTCTCTGTGGGTAAAAAAATAAATACATTTGCAGCTTGTACTGTGGACCTGAAAGGATAGAGACAAAGCATAGGTGTTTTTAGAGAGCCTATTCAGAGCTGATAATTGATCTAAGAATTCCCAGGCATCATTTAGCATTAGTTTTTTGTTTTTTTTTAGATTTTTTTTTTCCCAAGGCTTTGGCCTCATACCATATTCAGCTATGGATGAGTAAGCTGTATTATAGTCTGACTTGGGCAACATCAGCAAACTATTATGTGATGTTATTGTTAGGATGTTTATTTTGATATTTGGGCACATTCAGCTTTCCTCACTTTCATCTCTCCATCTTCTACATAGTGTGTAATTTGGTATGCCTAATTTTAAAAATTTGCAGTGAAAGAGCTTTTACCAAACCCTAATATCTTTTCTCTTTATGTAGTCCAGTTACCCATGGAAAATTCATCCCTCTATGCTGGGCCAGCAAAAAAGTGTATGCATTGTTCAGTGGGCATTAGTGGTACACAGGCACTTGTACCATGTGCAAGGGTGACTTTCACTCTTCTGTACATAAGTTATTTTATTTCCTAAACTAACCCCCATCCTTCTCCTATGTTACTTGCAGTCTGAGTTTCTAGCAATGTAAAGTTACTGTATTTGCTGGAATACAAGATGACCCCGAGTATACGATGACTCCCCAATAATTAGATTCTATATCTGGACATTTTATATATTTGTTGCAACTTTCCAGGTATAGAATCTAATTGTTAGAGGTTTGCCTTGAATTGGTCTCCCTCCCACTGCTACAGGGGGTCTGGTGGCCCCTCCCCACTTACTGTCAGCCCCTGCTGTCCCTGAGCACATAGAAATGAAGAGCAAATTTGAAAACACTGGGTGCATCTACAAATGGTGCACCATTTGAACATGGGCCTGGGATCACAGCACATTGAGTTGGGTCAGAGCAGCCCCAGCCGGCAGGGGGCCCAGGGGGTCAGCCTGCCAGCCTGACTTGGCTCAAATGTACTGTGGAGGGGCTGGCTGGGGCATAAAATTGCTCCAGTATGGGGTTAGCTGGCAAGCAGCCCCCGCACTGAAGCACCCTCATGGCCCAGCCAGCTGGGTCAGGGTCTACACGTGCGGTGCTACAAAGTAAAAAACTCCGGAGCAGGATAGTGCTTGTATTTATTTACTAGTACTACTCTACTGAGGATTTTTTTAGTTTATTCCAGCCTAGCAGCCCTGCGTGTGTAGATGCCGAGATGTTTACTGTGGAGCTAATTGGCCCACTCCACAGTAACCATCTCCTGTAGATGCACCTACTGACTTTGTAATAAACATGCCTGTAGTAATTTGCATAGTCAAATTACTATGGGAACACAGACTTAATTCATCTGGAATTGAGACATTTACCTTCTTTGAAACTGCTGTAAGCTCTAGCACACATATTGCCTAATACACTTTTAAGCAGCACTTTTGTATATACTTATACAAACTGTGCATGATATTAGTCCAAAGCCCAAAGGTTCACGATTTTTCCATATAGTTCATTGGACTGGGACCCTGCAGTGTCAACAGTGTCTCGAGCCATAGTGACCCCACAGCTCAGCACTGCTTAATATATGTGTGTACTTCCGATACCCCCCTTCCCTCATGTGCTAATTAACCTACAACTCATGCCTGGAACCAAGTGTCCTTGCCACAACTCCTGGGATCCTCCAAAAGTTTATATGCTGATGAGGTACAGGGCAACCTGGTCTGGCTCCAGGTCATGGAGAGTGGGGCCACCCTAATCATATGTGACGGGTTGAGAGAGGAGATGACAGAGAAATTCTGAGTGAACTGTTTGGGACCCCATTCAGTAATGTTTGCTGGGCATTTAAGGATGGTGAAGAAACAGGAAATGGGAAAGACAGGCACAGCTCAGCTGCGGGAGAGAAGAAGAGATTGAAATATATTCAGTGCAGTGGTTTACCATGACTTGAAAAAGAGTCAGCATTTAGGGGGACTCAATGCATTGGGCTTTACCATGTGTCTTATTCAGATGGGTTGCACTAGCCTATTCTTATGGTAGGTTCCCAGTAGCGTGTTTGCGTAATATGGGTCATGTGTTTTACAGTTATGCTCCATGTTGGCTGTATTTAATCAACTCCATAGTTGGTTTCCATGGCTGAGCCCATGCTGCTTTTGGCGGCAGTTTAATAATAGACAAAGTACTCACTGAGGGTTCCTTGTGTGCAAATGTGAGATGAGGAATGTGTTTTCTCTGTGCTGATTGGGGTGAAAACCTCTCATCTTATATTTAAGCAGATATGGCAAATCAGTAGTACATAAGGAATATGAAACACCATTAAGGATATTTAAAAGAGTTCCTGCACTATGATGATCAACGTTAAATAATGCTAAAACACTTCCCCCACAATGGGACTATAACCAGGGGACGTACAATAAAAATGGCCCTGTTCCAGTCTCCCCCTCTGTTTCCACAATTCTGAGCTAGTGTAGGGCTTTCCATGCTCAAAAAAGAGGAAAAGGAGGTAGGGTTTCCGACGCATGTTAGGAACCATATCATGCTGGTCTGGTTAACTGGGAACTACTGAGATGTTATGGTCATAAATGCAGATTAATGTCCTAAAGTAGACAGAGTGTGTTATAATTTCTAGCATGATGCTCTGGTGATTCTGTAGGTAAATGGAGTTTTACTTGCAGGACCTGATCTCACAGTCAATCTCTGGTATATCGTTGTATAGAAACAGGACATAATTTGGAAAAGTGCTTAGGTGTCAGTGGGTTTGTCTGCACTACATCTGTGCTGCCCCTGGGAATGAGAAGCCGGCCCAGGAGCACCTGCCAGTGAGAAGCACAAACTGCCAACTTTCTCCTGTTTGGTGTACATCTAACTGGGAATGAAGCAGCAACGGCAGACAGAGTAGCCTGAGTGTGTGCCTCAGCACTGCTCCAAGGCTTTTTTGGGGGCATGCTTCTTGGCATGCGCTTGGGGCTACTCTACGCCAACTCATTTCTGGGATTTTGAGTGATTGGGAGGAAGTGATTCTCTGTGGCAGCCCATGGAGGCCATGCAGTTATGTCCTTAGGGTGGAAATAGATGTCCTCATTTGCTCTGCCTTAAAAATGTTTCAGGTGGCACAAATGCTGAACAAATAGATGTCCATATCCTTTGTTGTGCCACATGACAGGTGGTGTTACAAAACAGAGTAATAGACTGCCACTTCATTTTGGCAGACGTCTGTTGCCTTGTGGCAGTTTCCTTGCTCACCCCAGCACCCTAGATCCACAGGGAAAGTGGCAAAATCACGTTGCCTCTTGTTCTGCTCTATCAAAGGTGGGACCAGGGGCGACGTGTTATGCCTGGTGAAGCGAATCAGCCATGTCACGACACACTGCGGCACAGCTGAATCGCTCCATTCAGCAACATCTATTTCTAGTCTTTAGTCTCACTGAAAGCCTGCGTGACTTAAGCTGCTAAATAGTCAATTTATGAAAATAGTCAATTTTGCATATTGCAAAATAGTCGAGTTTGTTTTTGCTTGACTGAACGATTTTTGAGGTGAATGGAGACAGGATTGGGGCAGAAGAGGTGAGCATTCCAGTCGCATGCAATATTTTATTCTACGTGAAATTAATTGCTTTATTTTCATCTGGGGCATTTTTAACAAGGGAAAAGGAGTTTAGAAACAAATGGCTGTACTGACAAAGGACCCAGGTGCCAGTGAGACATCCAAAGAGGGGGAGGTGGAAATGGTGTCATTCTCTTGCCTTCTACTGTAAAGCCCCAAAATAACTCACCTGGGATGAGGAAGATTCAGACTAATTTCCTTTCTGCAGTATCCAGAATAATGACTTGGATTTGACTTGAATTAGGAGCATGCCCTAACCACTGGTTCACAGAATATTATGCGATGGGTCATGTCTTAGTCTTTCTCATTGAAGCTGTTCCACATTCATGTTACATACTCATTATACCAAAAAGAATGTGACTGAACCCATGCAGCAAAGATTAGGACGCTCATGGATTTCAGTGCTTTCTCTAATGGCTATCTAGTTATTTTATGCAAACAGATTTAATAGATGCAATTAAGAGAGAACCCAGAATATCCCATGGCCCTAATAACTGTGGTACTCTGCTTTGATGTGGAAAATTCAAGTTTTAATTCCCTGCTCAAAATCAACCAGAGAGAGGATTTGCATTCTGGTTTCCATTTTTCCACTTGAGTGCCCTAAGCACCTCCACCACATCCAAATAAACTAATTCAACAATTTCAACATACCTGTCAAATTCAACCTGAATTTGTGGATGGTTTGGGCTGCCTGAAAAACTGCATAAATGATGCAGTGAATAAATGATTTGGAGAATAAATGATTTCCTGAAAAATATTTGCCTAGTTCAACTCTTAAGTTGCTTTAAGTTTTTTGGGTTTGTTTTTTATTTAAGTCTTTGCCTCATGTGAAATATGTGTTTTGAACACAACGCTATGAAAACACTGGTATACGTGTAGCAGTGAATGTAAAAAGGCAACTAACTTAAATCTGTTTGAATTTAAATCAAGGTAAATGCATTTGGAAATAGTAGGCCAGTGTCTGTGTGTGATGATTCTACTGTGCTGGTGAACTGTTTAACCGTGGACCGCTTAGGGGTGAATATCACTTGGAAAGCTCAGCTTGAAGACATCCCAGCAGCTTCTCTCCCTGATTTACATGACATTGGTATGAATTTTGCTTGTTTTCTTCTCTGCTGTTTCTTTGTACATGGCTTATTTTGCAGAATTGCAATTTGCTGCCTGCTCTTGGGAGTTATTCATGAGTTAGACAACTACCAGAAATGTGAGCAGCTGCAGGGGTGGGAAGGGGGAGAGCGGGGTAGGGGGAGTTCCTGAAACATTTTATTTTCTCTCTACATCAGAGTTGAATTTTAGAGTCTTTGGAAATGAGCTAGGAGAAGGAACAATATGTGTCCACTTCTGGGCTGGTTTCTACACTATGGAAAGGAGCCATGATTTACAACAGGACCCTCTACCCCAGACATAGAGAGTCCTGGCTTTGAGAATTGCTATTTGTGCAAGGGGCAGGCTCATCCCAGCTGTTAATTTCCACTGGTCATGTCCCCCACAGTGGGGACAGATTTGCCACAAATGACTTGATCTGGTTGTTAGCCTCACTTTATTTCCTCCCATCATATCTCTCTTCTGTTCTATCTGACTCTATTCTTATACTAGTCTTATCATTGTAATATTTGAGGATGCTCCGATGCACTGTATTTATAGCATGTTGAAGAAGACTCAGTGAGTTGAGTCTACTGGCATGTGCTATTTAGCGCGCTTCAGCAGCCTCCGAGTCTTGTGTTTCAGCATCCTTGCACTTCAAAATAGCGGGAAGGGTATTTCAACTAAAGCTTGTTTGGATGAGATTTAGTTAAAGCACCCTGCTGCCATTTTAAAGTGTGGGGATGCTGATGCACGAGATGTTGTGGGCACTTTAATTAGAGTGGCTCTTGGAACCTCTCTAATTAAAATGCCCCCCATGTCCTGGAGCACGTGTAAAAATGCCCTGCATGCTTAACTCTTTACTTCATACACCTTAGGGTAAGCACACAGGCTGCTTGCAGATGTGAAAAAAAACTGAACAAAATGGCGCTTCACTTTAAACTTGGCACACTCCTGCGCTGAGCCCAGTGCATACCCAGAAAAGGCAGTACATTAGCTGCACCTGGCCTTCCCAACACCTGTATAGATTGGGTCCTTACTGGAGCTTTTTTGGTACTTTTATCTAATAGCTGATTGAATCACCTTTAGATAAAAGCTCCATAAAGCACTGCTGAAGGGCCCAGTCTATACAGATGCTGCAAAGCTGGGTCAAACTAATGTGCTGCTGCTTCTGGTAAAGCAGGGTGGTTGTTTTTCAGTGCCCACAGTGTCCACTGAATAAAGGAGTCATCGTTGTTGGCTTCTCCAGCCAGCAAGAGAGGCGGTTAAGGCATTCCTCCCTTCAGAGACTGGGAGCACTTCTACTACCTTGTAACCTAAAATAAGATGTAAAGAATGCATCCCAGATTCCAGCGCCTCTTGTGCCAGCACATGTCTAGCATTCTGGCTTTGTAGTGCTATTCCCAGCCCTAAAAATAAAAAACCCTGTCTGGACATGGTCCCTCTTCTAATTTTGGTGCTTCGAGCCTGTGTTTGTCCTCCAGAGCTTCTGCCCGATCGGAACTGAGGTTAAAAGTCTTCTCAACTGGACTGTGGTTGTAGCGGTTATGTGGTTACTGGCCATACAGTCTGTTTGTGTTTACATCCATTCAGCTGGACCAGATTATAAGGAAATACGAATATGAAATTGCCTGTACATGGTAGATCAAAGCACAAATTGCATTTTGTTGTATATTGAAGTGTGTTTAGAAAAGTCTTCTGGACCACAGGGATTACATTTTGGCCCTATCCACACTACAATTTTCCCTCTTCCCTAAAATTATTTTTAGGGCACACTATCATAACACACTATAATATAGCAGTTGAAAGTATGAATTTAATTAGGGCTGATGTAAAATGTCCTGCTTTTTCATGCTGGAGCTATTTTGTACAGTTTAATGATTGCAGAAGTCATGCAAAGCTCAACCATTCTTATAGTAGTTTCCACCTCTCACTACTCTAAATGTTTTCTCTCTCACCAAGGGCCTGTCTCAATGCTTTCATCCACCCCTGGTTGTGCACCCTATCTGCTGCTGCTTCTGTATTAAATTATAAGACGGTAGTTTACTGTGCAACCAGTATTACAAACTCAACAGGTCTTGGTGCTCTAGCATAGGCCCCAGTACTACAAACATCAATGAACGTGTCCAGATTTGTTCACACAGGCAGCCCCATTGACTTCAGTGAGGCAGCTCACTTGTGTAGATCTACTTCTCTGTGTAAGCAGATGGTTTTGCTTGTGAATCAGGTGCTCCTTTGCTCATGTGTGATAAAGCATCTTCTCCCTACTGATGTCTCTTAAGTTTTGTTGGGGAAATTGACCAGCTACTGTGTAGCACCCATACACCGAAGAGTGTGCTCATATACTGAGAAGCACTGGTCACCTCCCGTCTCTGGGCTTGTTCCTAGCCGCGATCAATTAGGCAGAGAACGAGGGGGTGTCGGCAAGATGATTTATTACTCTGCAGAGGGGTGCTCAATGCCCAAAGACAAAAAGCCCCCCAGTCTGAGTTTGGTAGCACTTTTTGTACTAACAGGTCATACATATGCAAATATAGGTATACATAGGCATAAGGCATATATGCGTGTGCATCTTTGGGGAATTTCCACTAGCTTTGGGGTTTTGTTTTTTTGCTTGCTGTTACAGAGTTACAAAATACACAGAACAAGTTTGCTTACTGTCAGCAAAAGGCTATCTTTAAGTTTAGGGAAAGATCATATGCTTCTTCAGGGTCATCTGCTTCTCATGGGTCATCTTGTTTTTCTAACAGTTTACACAGCATTTAGCAGAGCAGAGCCCCAATCCTGAGAGGTTTAGCAGTGTTACTTATAGCAATTGCAGCTAATGGCAGCCAAGCATATTTGAACGCACCTGGTGCAATGGCATCTGGGCTGTATGTGCATTGGTACAGGTGTCAGAAATGCTTGCTATGCAGGCTGAACAAAGGCAAAACTACCTTGATCCTGGCTTTTTTGAACGGAAAAATGGATGTGTCGACAGGTCCCTCCCCATCTGACAATTTATCCTTTGGGTGACACCGGCTCCGGACCAGGTTCCTATATGGTTCCTGTTGAAAACAGTGGTAATCTCAGGGTACGTCCATGTTGTGTTGGCCATGTGGGATGTTCCTGAGCACATCCTGCCAATGAGCTCCTGCTCTCATGCTTCAGACCTGGAAGAATGCTGGTGAGGCCACTCGCGGTTGTCCACAGCGGCTGCACTGGAACGCACTGAAGACTGGTGTCTCAAGAGTGGCTGCATAGGGATGCTCCAAGCATCATCACCACTGCACTTCCAGGGATAG